TTGACCACTTGACATAAACCCTAATGTTGTAGCATTTCGTGAGTTGGGTAAAAGGTTGCAATCTGTTTTTTATGTGCACCAAAGGTTCATTATACAGAAAAATTTTTTCTAGCTTTTGTGTACACTATCAAACCAATACTTATAGTCATTTCTTCTGATAACTTTTCTGAAAAATGTTTACACGAAAAAAACAAACAGAGTTCCAATGAATCGCAATAAATCAAATTAAACCACATGTTGCACAAACTGCATACATGTTGAAAGAACAAACTGCATACATGTTGAAAGAACTGCTCTAAGTATTGAAGTAAGATCAGCTGTTCTAAATTTTTTTTTTTTTTTTATTACGTTAATATCTGATAATATGAATACGCTAATTTAATATTAGTTGAGTTACGTCATTTTCTAGGCTTTTCTATTTTAAAGTAGTTTCTAGGCTTTTCTTTACGCAGTTTTTTTTTTAATTTTATTTACTAACAACGCGTATTACGGGTTGCTTACTGCTAGTTAAATATTATATTTATTACGTTATTATTAAATATTGTTTATTACGTTAGGAATGATTTAAGTGCTTCTGATAGGGATAAAGAAATTTTGACTATTGAAATTATGAACAATCAATCTAAAAACATATTATTAAGCTGTTGTTATCGCCCACCTGACGGCGTGAGCGAGAACTTGAGCATTTTTTTTGAACAAAGTTTTTTCAAAAAAGATATTAAAGAAAACAAAAAGAACTTCATTATTGGAGACCTAAATATGAATTGTTTTCTTTATAATGAAGATAACAAAATTAAAAACTTTTACGACTCCTTTTTTGAGGCGGGAGCAATTCCTTTAATAAACAGGCCAACTAGAGTAACAAAAAACTCGGCGTCTTTGATTGATAATATTATTACAACAGATATATTCAACAATGATATTCAAACAGATATCCTAAAATCTGATATAACTGACCATTTTCCAATATTTTTGACAATTAATTCTGAAATTAAAAATAAAATAAACAAAATTAAAATCTGCATTTTTAACCATACAAATATAAAGTTGTTTAAAAACCAATTATCGTTACTGCACTGGAAGCATATTAACTTCAATGACAATGCAGACAAAATTTATGATAACTTTTTTGAAACCTTTTACTTCGTTTACGCAAACTTTCCTATTAATGAAAAGACAATAACTCCAAAAAATAAAAATAGCTCTTGGATAACAAAAGGATTTAAAAAATCATCCAAGATTAAACAAAAGCTGTGTATAAAATATCTTAAAACAAAATCATCAGATAATGAGAAAATATATAAAAATTACAAATATCTCTTTGAAAAAGTTCGTAAAAACTTGAAAAAAAATTATTACACAAGACTTCTAGTTAAATTCAAAAATAACACAAAACGCAATTGGCAAATAATAAAGGAAATTACTGGCAGACAAAAAAAATGCTCAGGTTCTCTTCCCCAGATGGTTATAGTGGATAACAAACGCATATGCGAACCAAAGACTATAGCTCATGAGTTTAATAAATTCTTCACTGACATCGGTCCTAAACTAGTGAATAAAATTTCTTATACCAAAGTAACATTTAACGATTATCTAGTACATATATGGATAATTGCATTAGTTCCAACGAATTATATTCTGAGCTAACTTTTCATGAATTCGAAAAAGCATTCAAATCCCTTAAAAAAAACAAAGCAAGCGGAGCAGATGACATAAACGGTAATATAGTTATAGAATGTTTTGAATAATTAAAAGATATACTTTTTAAGGTTTATGGAGCATCTATCCACCAAGGAGTTTTTCCGGATCAATTAAAAATTGCTAAAATTACCCCAATTTTAAAAGAGGGAGATCAAACAAATATCAGTAATTATCGTCCTATCTCCGTCCTCTGCACATTCTCAAAAATACTAGAACGCATTATGTATAATAGATTATACAATTATCTCCTTTCTAATAATTTGTTATACGCCAACCAGTTTGGTTTTAAAAAAAATAATTTGACGGAACATCCAATTATCCAACGGGTACGTGAAATTTCAAATTCTTTTGAAAAATCTAAATTTATATTAGGAGTTTTTATCGACCTATCGAAGGCGTTCGATACTGTAGATCATGAAATTTTGATACAAAAACTGAAATACTATGGAATAAATTACAAAGTTATAAAATGGTTCCGAAGTTATTTATCTAACCGTAAACAATTTGTTTTAGTAATAGTTATCCAAATGAGTTCCTAAATGTTTCATGTGGCGTTCCCCAAGGTTCTATTTTGAGACCACTGTTGTTCTTGATTTATATAAACGACCTAAATAAAGCCTCAAATTTAATGAGTATAATGTTTGCTGATGACACCAACTTATTTCCTTCCGATAATGATATTTACAAACTCTTTTCTAGTATGAACGATAAACTTAAAAACATATCAAAATGGTTTAAATGCAATAAGCTAACTCTTAACAGTAACAAAACAAAATGGATTCTCTCCCATCCAATCGCAAAAAAACCTTATTTACCCCAAAATTCACCAGAAATCTTTATTGATAATACTGTGATAAAAAGACACTATGTCAGAAAGTTTTTGGGTGTTTTTCTTGATAAAAACATCTCATGGAAAGCGCATATTAACTATATTAACACAAAAATTTCTAAAAGCATTGAAATTTTATATAAATCCAGAACATATCTATGTAAAAAAGATTTAACCCAACTATACTACTCATTTATTCATACCTATTTAAATTATCCAAATATTGCTTGGGGAAGCACAGAAAAAAGCAAGTTACAATGTCTTTACCGCCGTCAGAAGCATGCGATCCGTTTAATTAATTTTGCGGATCGATACACTCATTCCAAACCTTTTTTTATTGAAATGAAAATTCTTAATATTTACAAGCTTAATGTGTTTAGTGTTTTATGCTTTATGTATTTGTGGAAAAATGACTTATCCCTACCTATCTTTAAAGTTCTCATTTGTGAAAAACCAATAAATAAATACATTCTTAGAAATAATAAATTTTTGCAAAAACTTTTTTGTCGAACAAAGTTTAACCAGTATGGTATTGCTTATCGTGCGCCACATCTTTGGAATAAAGTTGTTTTGCCAAATTTTGATATATTTTACACTTTTCCAATTTTTAAACATAAGCTAAAAATTTAATTTTATTTTCCGATGACATAATAAGGTTCTTTTAATTGTAATTATATACCTTTATTTAGAACTTTTTTAATTGTAAAGTACGTTTATGTTAATTGTAAAATACGTTTTATGTAACGACTCTTTTTGTTTTACTTTTCTGTTTATTTTATATATAGATTATATACATTATAAATAATTATGCTAAATGCTTGTAAAAGGTTCTGATGATAAGATCAGTACGATCTTCTTTCAGAAACCTTGTTTGTATTTGTTTAAGTATTGTATTACGACAAATGTAAACTTAAAATGTAAAAAAAAAAAAAAAATTCTTTGATGGACAACAATTTATAAATAGCCTTTTTAATGAATTTTGAATGACATTTAGTAATAATGGTCAAAATTGTAGTTTATGTTAGTACACCAAACAAGTCTGGAAAGAAAAAAAGCAAGGTTACCATAAAACAAAATCGAGAAAAAAAATGTTATTAGAAATACAAAAAAGTTTTTGTAATCAAAATAAAACATTAGTTAGTGTATTGTAAAAAAATGAAGATTTTTGAACTTTTAATGTTTTCTTTTTTTTTACTTGCACTTTTTTTCTACTTGCATTTTTCTCAAAATCATGTTTTTTGGGCTAGCGACGGAGATATTTTTAAAACTTGTTATCAAATTGATTTGAAATTTGGCAAACTTATTTTTGTATTAGTATTTACAACATACACTAGAATAATCTTTACTGCATCTCTCGTTTAGTATTTTTTTTTAATTTTGTGACATATTCTAACCCATTTTCGCCCAAATTTACAAAAATGCTAATATTTTATCGAGTTTTGGACCTAACTTAAATCTTTTAGTCCACGACACAATGACACATATAAGATATCACCAGCCAAAGTTTCAATCATAAATTATAAACGGCTGCTGAAAAATCTCCGTTTCCCTTTACCCCAATTTTTGATCTTCAATAAACAATAAATAAAAATTAAAAAAAAAAATTATTTTTTTTTCATTTTTTTAGCTTTCCAATAATATATTTACAATTTGACAGAAAAAAAAAAAAAAAAAAAAGCATTTGCAAAAGTTGAATACAAATTTTTTTCCTAATTACTACCTTACATAACTACCACCTTAAACGGAGTGTAGTTGCTTTTCAGAATCACGATTGGGTATACAAACCATTTTTGAAAAAAACGGAAAAAAATAATTATCCAATAGAAATGTTAGCTGTAACATGGGGTACACGCAAATGTCGAAGTTTTTGTATGGGTTACCAAATTTTATTTTGGAAACAGATCACAAACCTTGAATTCCTATACTAAATTATCATTCGCTTGTGTCTATGTCGCCAAGAATTCAACGATTAAGAATGAAATTGTTGAAATTTTCATTTACTGCAGAGCATGTTGCTGGCGAGTCAATTACGAATGCTGATGCAATGCCTCGTGCACCTGTATCACAACCTACTGAGGACAACAAAATTACAGAAAATGATCTGAACATATACCTTAATTCAATAATTAAAAGTATGCCGGCCACAGAGAGTCGATTAGAAGAAAATAGGCAGAAAACTGAACAGGATTAACTTTTGCAACAACTGTAATATAGTATATTTTCCGGAAAGCCAAATTCAAAAAAATATATTGTCCAACAAATCTTCAGCTTTATTGGAATTTTAAAGATGAAATAGTTAAAATTGATGTATAAAAACCAAATAATAATCCCTGTTAGTATGCGAAAAGAAATACTTTTGAAATAGCACGAAGGTCATAAATGAATAGAAAAGTCCAAACGTCGTGCACGTCAGACAGTTTTCTGGCCTGGCCTAAATGACCAAATTGAACAGTTAAAGTGTGAAGCATGCATGAGGTATCTTCCATCAAAACCAAAAGAACCTCTGTTAACTTACAACGTTCCAACTCGACTATGGCAAAAGGTTGGAACTTATTTGTTTCAGTGGGCTAATAAAAATTACTTAATTATTGTTGATTATTATAGCATGTGGCCGGAAGTTTTTCCGCTTTCAAATACCAATTCGATAAATGTAATATTAGCATGCAAAGAATCCTTTTCTAGAAATGGTGTCCCGGAGGAATTGGCTTCAGATAATGGTACACAATATACTTCAAAGTTGTTTTATCAATGTTCTCAACAGCGGAAATTTAGACATACAGTAAGTATTTCGCACTATCCAAGATCAAATGGATTAGCTGAAGCCACTATTAAATTAGTTAAGCTTATTGTAAAAAAGTGCCATTTGTCAAACGAAGAAATTTTTAAAGGTATTTTTATATTGCGCAATTTTCCAATATAATGTGGATTATCTACAACAGAACTACTATATGGACAGCAACTAAAAAATAACCTACCTAGATTTCAAAGTCAAATTAAGAAACCATATAAAAGATCTAGAGACATCGTTAAAAAACTAACTTCAATCAAAAAACTACCATGATAAAAGTATTCGTATTTTAGCACCATACTTTTTCAAGCAAGGCCAAAATGTGGCGATTCAAGACAAAGTAACTCGCGAATGGAGTCTTAGAGGTAAAATGATAAAGTGCGTAGCCCCTAGATCATATGAAGTCAAATAAATCACAACGGACATGTTCTCCGTCGAAATCAAATTCATCTTAGAAGACTATATTTGCTCCACACAAGACTTGAGATAATGCGGAGATGATGTTGCACAAAAGAATAATAGCAGAAACAAAAAATATTCCAAATGAGATTAACGAAAAACAAATAATACAAGTATCAAGTTGTTGATGAAAAATAAAGAGTAAAAAGCTACTTGATTATGAGGATTTATAAACTAGCTGGAATTCTTATCGACAATAATATTTGTTTTGTTTAGCAGGAACTCTTATCGACAATAATATTTGTTTTGTTTAGCAGGAATTCTTATCGACAATAATATTTATGTAGTACGTGTGTCATTTATATACATGTATCACGGCTTGATCGGATAGATCGGTCCCGGTCTTTTGAGATTCCAAGTTTCAAAACTTTCTTGCCTAGATTTTTATTTGCTTTCCAAATAGTTTTCAAATTAAACTCCTTAGAATTTACAAGACAAACATGACAGGACTGAGATAAAATTCTTTTCTTAAGCATATTGGATACAACGGTCTTTAGTGTTTGCCATCATTCATTGTGCTATAAATAGTTGACAAACTAGACTTTACTACAAAAGTATTATTACCTAGTTTAAATTCAATATTGTTCAATAAAAAAATTTCATTTTTTAAATCTTCAAATTTTTTCTGAAAAAAATCATTAGTTTCTTTTGCAAAACAAAAAATAAGATGACGGGTTGCATCTGGACTATTTGGAATAAAATATTATCTTCCGTTTCGAACCTTTAACAGTATAAACACTATACTATACACAGAGCGATCATCCACACCTCTTTTCATAGTTGCTGAATTTCGAAACTCAGATTGATCACTTTCTCCATCATCTCCTACTTTGCAAATAATATGTACATTATCACACTTTTCTTGTGATTAACTCATTATGCAGTTACTTTTCATAGTCTAAAAGATATTCAATCACTCTAGAAAGTGAATGCTTTATCATTTGGAAAAGACTATATTTTACTGCGGTGTCAGAATATTCGATCTGTTCTGGATATGTCAATTTTTTATGTTGTTTCAACTTAGTTAAACCTAAAAGAACAAGATAACGATTATGAGATTATTAACTAAGTTTTAGTGTACAGATATATTTACTGCAGGTGATCTAGTTGCTCTCCAGGGTGTATTATAAATAAAAATATACATCAAAACATAGATGCAACACTAACTAAACTGTCAAAAAGAAGGTTTTGTGAAATATAGTAAAAAAAATTATGTGTGTGTTTATATATATATATATATATATATATATATATATATATATATATATATATATATATATATATATATATATATATATATATATATATATATATATATATATATATATATATATATATATATATATATATATATATATATATATATATATATAAATATATATATATATATATATATATATATATATATATATATATATATATACATATATATATATACATATATATATATATATATATATATATATATATATATAATACAGTATTATAATACAATATTCATAACTTATTTAATAATAACAAATTAATGTGGAACATATTATACTTACACAGTGGCGGAACTACTGGACGCAGGACCCTGCGTTGCGGGGGGGTTTACCAGCTATAGGGAGCCCTCATATAAAAAAAGTTATACTCTCAATAATATTTATACTATAAAACTCTTTTCCGCAAAAAAAACATTCTTTTGCGGGGGGGGGGGGGCAAATTTTGAAGTTCCGCCACTGTACTTACAATAGATATTTGAATTGCTGATTTTGAACCAAAAAATATTTATGTTTAGCAGGAAAAAACTTTTTTTCTTTTTCCACACATTAAATTTTTTTATTAAATTAAATGCCAGGCTTTTGAATATTTTGAAATTCTCTGAGCATCCAGCATTAAGAGATATAAACTTGGATTGCAAAAAAATGGTACATGCAGAAATATTTTTACTTGTAAAAATATGCCTAGGAGGAAAATCATCAGCCAAAAGTTTTCTAAGATTGAAAAAAATTTTCTTTAACCATATTAAAACAGTTTTCAAACCACGCTTAAAAATTTTCAAATTTAGTAGTAATAATTTCGAAGTTAAGACTTACAACAAATGTACCGTCTGCAATCCAGTATCGTTTTTCATACTTGACAAAAACTGTAATTTAACCGGTTTTTGATAAAATCCACTACATTTGAATTGATTTTATAGCATGTTACTACAGAGGTAGCCAGAATATATTTCACTTATAAAAAGTCAATTTGTTTCACAAAATTTATATAAAATAAAAAACTGGCTACCTCTGTAGTAACATGGTCTAATCAATCATTTTTTACGGACACACAAAAACAATGATCCAAACATTTTTTTTTTTCTTTTTTGGTTTTTAATTTACAAAATGTAAATAAGTAATAATTAGTAATAATATTACTTATACGAACTATAAAGTACGAGCTGTATATAGCTCGTACTTATTCAATTAAAAAAAAGCAAGAAAAAAATTCCAGATCTAGGTTTTTTCTAAAACTCGAAACCTGATTTAAATTTTATATGAGAAAGTATTTTTTATGTTGCTTTTATGTTTATGGTGCTTTTATGTTTATATTGCTTTATTATTTTGCTTAAAAGTAAAAAAAAATTATTTCCTTGTATGTAGTATGCGTCGGTGGTTTAACGGTTAGCAATGTTGCCTTCCAAGCAATAGATCCGGGTTCGATTCCCGGCTGACGCACATTGTATTATATAGCGCTTCTGCGCTATGTAATGCAATCTTTTATTTTAGCATAGCGTTAATAATTTACATTTCTTTGGGTAATACACGATTCTCTGATTTGAGTTTAAGCGCTGCGCAAGCATGTTAAATGACATGCGCAAACCGAGCGGAGGTAAACAAACATTTACTTTTATAATTTGACTTGAGTTACTGCGAGAAGGTCATAAAAGAAATATAAATGTCTACTCATTGTGCTGCTAAAGATTGTAAAAATGGTCAATATAGACTTATTAAATGAAGACAGGAAATTTGCAAAGTTCACGGGACAAGAAGAGAAGAAGAAAACTGTAATTGCATAGAACCTTTTAGGTAAAGATTAACTAGACTACTTCTTTCATAATAATAGTGTTATATAACACTATAATTATAGTGTATTATAATACTATTATAATACACTATAATTATAGTGTATTATAACACTGTTATTATGCATTATTCTATATAACACTATATAGTGTATTATAACACTATTAATACTAATAATTTACACAACATCTGAATAATATGTACATAATACACTATAATTATAGTGTTATATAACACTATTATTATGAAAGAAGTAGTCTAGTTAATCTTTACCTAAAAGGTTCTATGCAATTACAGTTTTCTTCTTCTCTTCTTGTCCCGTGAACTTTGCAAATTTCCTGTCTTCATTTAATAAGTCTATATTGACCATTTTTACAATCTTTAGCAGCACAATGAGTAGACATTTATATTTCTTTTATGACCTTCTCGCAGTAACTCAAGTCAAATTATAAAAGTAAATGTTTGTTTACCTCCGCTCGGTTTGCGCATGTCATTTAACATGCTTGCGCAGCGCTTAAACTCAAATCAGAGAATCGTGTATTACCCAAAGAAATGTAAATTATTAACGCTATGCTAAAATAAAAGATTGCATTACATAGCGCAGAAGCGCTATATAATACAATGTGCGTCAGCCGGGAATCGAACCCGGATCTATTGCTTGGAAGGCAACATTGCTAACCGTTAAACCACCGACGCATACTACATACAAGGAAATAATTTTTTTTTACTTTTAAGCAAAATAATAAAGCAATATAAACATAAAAGCACCATAAACATAAAAGCAACATAAAAAATACTTTCTCATATAAAATTTAAATCAGGTTTCGAGTTTTAGAAAAAACCTAGATCTGGAATTTTTTTCTTGCTTTTTTTTAATTGAATAAGTACGAGCTATATACAGCTCGTACTTTATAGTTCGTATAAGTAATATTATTACTAATTATTACTTATTTACATTTTGTAAATTAAAAACCAAAAAAGAAAAAAAAAAATGTTTGGATCATTGTTTTTGTGTGTCCGTAAAAAATGATTGATTAGACCATGTTACTACAGAGGTAGCCAGTTTTTTATTTTATATAAATTTTGTGAAACAAATTGACTTTTTATAAGTGAAATATATTCTGGCTACCTCTGTAGTAACATGCTATAAAATCAATTCAAATGTAGTGGATTTTATCAAAAACCGGTTAAATTACAGTTTTTGTCAAGTATGAAAAACGATACTGGATTGCAGACGGTACATTTGTTGTAAGTCTTAACTTCGAAATTATTACTACTAAATTTGAAAATTTTTAAGCGTGGTTTGAAAACTGTTTTAATATGGTTAAAGAAAATTTTTTTCAATCTTAGAAAACTTTTGGCTGATGATTTTCCTCCTAGGCATATTTTTACAAGTAAAAATATTTCTGCATGTACCATTTTTTTGCAATCCAAGTTTATATCTCTTAATGCTGGATGCTCAGAGAATTTCAAAATATTCAAAAGCCTGGCATTTAATTTAATAAAAAAATTTAATGTGTGGAAAAAGAAAAAAAGTTTTTTCCTGCTAAACATAAATATTTTTTGGTTCAAAATCAGCAATTCAAATATCTATTGTAAGTACAGTGGCGGAACTTCAAAATT